TTCCACAGAATGTCTGAAAGTGTATTCGGTATATTCAACTAATTATGGTATTGAAACATATCGATTAATTGGATCTAACTTGGATACAATTAGATTCTAAGAGAATAAAAAATAGGACATAATACCACCAAATAAATAATGATTGTGTTTAAAACAATACACAATTTTAAAGAGTTTAAATATTATCATTGTTTTAAACACGTTGTCTTACTTAATAATATTTTAAAAATTTACACAGTAACTTCGTTACATTTTATAACAATAAGCAACGTTAATACATGTTTTACAAAAATGAATTTCTTGTTGTTCAAGTATCAAACATCAATTCTTCAATATGTAGGTATTATTTTTACAACAAATCTTAATCTTATTTTATCTCTGTTACTAAGATTAGGTGTATAATATAAATTATTTATATTATTAAATTTGTTGTTAATTTGAAAAGTTAAACGACCAAAAAAGTTAAATTAAAGTTAATAATGAAATAAAATCCACACGTTCTTGTTTAATTTTTTTCAAAACGTTCACGTTTGATTTAAACTTTAAATTTGAGTTTAAAGGTGAGAATCTTAATGTAGATTATTTGTCTAATAACACTTTGGTTATTTATTTTTTTTTCGCTTTTTTTAATTCAAAGATATTTTAAGCTCAAAAAAAAAACGATAGAAAATGTCTCTTTTTTAATTATTTTCTTCTGCATAATTTTGAAATCATTTTCCAAATCTATATGATTTTATGTTATATTTCCAAAAAAATTATTAATTTATAAACGAATTCGAAAAACTCGAAAACGTTATGTATATATTTGTTGCTTTATTTGCACTCTCAAGAGCTGTCGATGTGTTCATTTCACCTGAGGGCCACGACTACGACGATGGAACTTATACCAAGCCGTATAAAACCATTCAAGCTGCAATTAATTCCTTTGCCAAAAAGACTTTACCATCAGAGGGAATTACTTTCAAGCTTTTTCCTGGTAACCACAAAATAATAAACAAGACTTTAAGTGCCAATGTTAATAACTTAAATAACACAAATAACGTTCCTATCAAATTTACTAGTTCCCTCCAAAACAATTTGGCAAGTATAGTTGGTGGGACACAACTTCCAGTGACCTCTTTCAGAGCATTGGACGCAACAAAAGATTCCAAACAATACTCCAAAATACAAGCAGATGTTCGCTCAAAAGTGAAAGTGTGTGATTTAAATTCTTTGACAACCGAAGTCAATTTGATCAACATTGCCGAGACAAAAACGACTGAATTATTTGTCGACGACTTCCGTATGAAAAATGCAAGATATCCAAATAAAGATATAACGCCTGAAAAAGCAGTTGACTCTATTTATATTATTAAAGCGACCTTCACACCGGACGTCTCTGGTTTTTATAGAGCGACGACTAAAAAGTGCGACAACCAAACAGTCTGGCAGAAGACTGTAGCAGTCAATAGTAAAACTTATTATATATATACTATAAATGGTACATACTACTTATCTCCAAGAAGTGACTGCAAAGCACCAGCCATTGCTGATGGCCCTTCTTGGAGTGCCAAACGGACTTCCATGAAAGGGAGTGTAGCTCCACTTTCCAATTCTGGAGCTACTGGTAACGTTAATTTGCCCAAAGAGGGTTACACATATAGAGGGTTCATGTTTACTGCGTTTTCCGAGTCCACAAACAAAAATGCTAAAACATTTGGGTACAACAACGACCGCATCAGTAAGTGGAGTTCTGCGAAGAATTTGTGGATCAAAGGGTATTTCAAGTACTTGTGGTCGGACAGTACAATTGCTGTTGATAATATTAACACGACTGCAAGAACAATAACATTGAAATCGACAACGAGTTATGGGATTAATGCAGAAATGCCCTATTTTGTGTATAACCTGATTGAGGAATTGGATGAAGAAGGGGAGTATTTTATAGATCGAGATGAGAAGAAGATATACGTCATCTTTTACAAGACCCCAAAGGAGATTTGGATATCACACTCCACTAAAGAAGCCGTCAAAATAGATAAAGTGAACAACATCGAATTCACCAATTTGAATTTCAAGTACTTCCCAAACGGCTTTGGTTCGTCCAACAGTAAAAATTTAAAAATTAATAAGTGCGGGTTTAAACACTCTGGCAGCAACGGAATAAGTGTGTCCGGACAAAACAGTAAAATAGAGAAGAATCAGTTCTATGACATTGGAACGACGGCAGTGTACGTGTTCTGTGGCAATCGCGTGACTCTAACGAACGGAAGTTGTCTCGTCAAAGACAACACATTTACGCTCTTCTCGCAAAACCATTACACGTACACGCCAGCTATTAATTTGGGCGGTGTTGGCAATATAGCAACTCACAATTTCATCGAACAAAGTCCACATGAGGCCATCACTTTCTCTGGGAACAACCACGAAATTAGTTATAACAAAATAGAAAATGTGTGTATCTATGCGAGTGACGCCGGTGCTATATACACGGGAAGACGTTGGGATTGGCCAGGGACTGTTATTAAGTATAATTACATTTATAATATCACAGGATGGGGACAAAGTGGGTCATACGTCCAAGGGATCTATCTGGACGATATTCTCTCTGGGGAGAAAGTGTTTGGAAACATCATGCAGAGTATTCGTGGACGTGGGATTTTACACGGAGGTGGACGAGATAACGATATCACAAATAACATCATGTATGACTGTGACTATGGATACAATGGAGATATGCGTGGGCCAAATTCATATTCAACAAAGACTGGGGACTCTTGGAATTTACTTGAAAAATGCAGTGAAGGCGGAATTAATCGACTCACAGAACCGTGGAAAAGTGCATACCCTCTCTTGTACAAAATACCAAATAACAATGACCAAATAGTTAGTGAAAATCATTGGTTATTGCCTGAAAATTGTGTTGTTGATTGCAATGTGGTATACAAAAGCAAATACCGCAATTACAACTGTGGTACAAGTGTGACAAAGAACTATAAAGTGTTTAACCAAAATCTTTATAATTCATCATTGGACCCGCTCTTTGTAGACCCAGAACATGGAGACATGAGACTCAAAGAAAACTCACCAGTGTATAACATGAAGTGTTGGCAAGACATTCCATTCGATGAAATTGGAATAACAAAAGTTAATGATGGAGTACATACAAATGTTATAATCTCTGTTGTACTTCTCATGCTAGTAATCTTGTGTTAACTCGTTATTCTGTGCCAAATTTATTGGTTGTAGTATTAAATCATATCATATTTATATAATAATTTATATAATAATTATAATATAATTATTATATAATTTATATGATAATTATTTATTATTCATTATAGTTAATTTATTAATACTATATTAAATAACTATTCTATCAACTTATTATAATAATAAATTGATGGATATCTTTTAAACACAAACACGACACGTTGATGTTTTTGTTATATAGTAATTTATAATTAATATTTACTACATTTTTATCACACTTATAACTAGAAATAGTAGTTGTTATTATAATTTTTTATAGTACTTAATTATTACACAAAAAAAAACTATATTTCTAATGTTCATTAAGTTCGATAAAAAATTATTCGAATAAACAAAAAAAAATATTTATTTACTATTTTTCTGGTCTTCTTGGTTTTTTTTCTTTATCGAAATGTTTGAACCGAAGGGACTTATCAACCAATTTGGATGTTATAGTTTTGGGTTTTCCTTTGCATTTGACATATTTTGGATCCTTTATTTCCCCATCTTTATATTGAGTATCATCACTTTTACAATTCTCAATAATCTGTAAAAATTCCACAGCATTTTGAAATATTGTTCTTCGGCTTAATAGATTAGCAACATTACACAATTTCTTTTTAATATCACCTCTAGTTATTTCTCTTTCTTCTGTGATTATTCTAACTTCATGAGTTGGTTCAGTAGTGTTTTCTATAAATAAATTGGCTTTAAAATCTGCCTTTAATAGTACAGGAGTGTTATTCTGGCATTTTACAATTGGACGTATGATCGAATTGTTATCCAAGAAATACCCAATCGGACATCTATTGTCTTGAAAATTATCTTCTTTAAAAAACCTATAATACAACATGTGGTGACAAGGAACCCCACTACTTGTGTATAAGTTACAAGTACAATTATTACTATTTCCTATTGTGCAGTCTTCCATACATGTAACAGTTTTATAATTGTTGAAAAGAGACTTGATTGCATAAGGTATCAGAGTCTTTAACAAATTATCAGGGATGAGTAGTGAGAGTATTTGCATTTCTTTCTCTGTGAAAGGTTCTGCGTTGCAATGTAATTGTTTTGTGTAAAGAACAAAAGCTTGTGCAGCGGTACTCAACGAAGGAATTGTTTGTTGGAAGGACAAAGTTGCATGAGAAAAAAACGCTTCAACCAAATTTGAAGTGGCATATAATCTTTGGTCAACTTGCGATGGCAGAAAAGTATTTCTGATGTCAAATAGTGTTTTCAACATTCTATATTTGGTTGAAGGCTTTTCGACTTCGACTTGAGTAGATTTATTGGCCATATAAACCACTGATAAAAAGTCTGCAAATTCTTTTTGAGTAGGCATGTCATCTACTTGTTGATCAGATGATATTTGGATTTCAGACGTTTGCATCAAAAAGAGTAACTTGTTCACAAACAAAGCTTCGGCTTTTAAAGTGTCTGAATTTTCCCGAAACATATCATAAAAAAGACCAATTATTTCTTCCTTTTTATTAAAATGTTTTTCCAAATTCCTTCCAATATGTAAATAACAATGACGTATTTTTGTAGCTGAACCAAACACCTCCAATAATGCCGAACTTTGTGCCTCTGATCTGTCTCCTGAAAAGCCAATAGGATGTTTTTTCCTCTTATCCAATTCACTTTTTAGTTGATTGAGGAAGGTCACAAAAGAGTTTTTCGTTGAATCGTATAAAAACCCAAAACACAATAATTGTGTTTTGTTGTTATTTTTAAAAACAACCGCAAACAACGGTTTGCCAAATTTGTTGGTGCAGTGTGTATCATCAACCACAAGACAGCTTCCATCATAGTCTTGTATAGAAGTCAAACTCAGACAAAAGCAACTTAAAAACCGACCTTCTATATCAGTGAATATAACGGTATTGAAATCTTCTAGTGAATCAAAATAAGTTCTTAAATTTTCCGCTTGCTTCTTATTGTTATACCGATTTGATTGACATCTTATCTTATATAACTTTTGTGCATCTATTACAATGTTATTGTTGAATCTTGACAGCGAACTTGAAATTCCATCATTGGCATCTTTAATTAACAACAATTTTGTTTCATCAGAAATGGTGTTATGTACTCCTTTAAGAATTGTTGATTCATCATGATTAAAATGCCAAGGATTAAAAACTATACCACTAACTTTTGAATCTTTGGCAATATAAAATATAATTTCTGACGAACAACCTTTATGTTTACAAGAAAAGTATTGTTTTGGACCGTTGGTTCTGGTGTGCGTTGCTTTGTATATTTGTATTTGTTTTTCGCGGAGAGTATAAAAGGCAAATTTCTTCAATTTTGTATTCAGAGTTGCAGTTAAACTAGTCCCCAACAAATCAAACAATCCATTTCTAACTTTATCATTAACTGAAGAAAGAAAACTGTTATCTATTTGTTGACTAATTCTTATCCACATAACAGGATAGCTAATATTATCTATTACTTCCATGACAGACCTTGGCTTTAATTCTTCTTTTGATAAAGATTGAAGTTCGTTTTGTGTTGTAACACTCAGCGATGTAAATGCCACTCCTTTGAGAATAACTTCATAAATAAAAAGTGACATTTTGAATAACAAGTTAAGTTTAAAAAAATAATACAAAAAGTTTGTGTGATTTGAATTTTTATCGAACTTAATGAACATTAGAAATATAGTTTTTTTTTGTGTAATAATTAAGTACTATAAAAAATTATAATAACAACTACTATTTCTAGTTATAAGTGTGATAAAAATGTAGTAAATATTAATTATAAATTACTATATAACAAAAACATCAACGTGTCGTGTTTGTGTTTAAAAGATATCCATCAATTTATTATTACTAAAATTAAATATAGTATAGTAATAATTTGTTTATTAAAATATATAGTTATACCTCATAGCACTCATTACTACTATTTTTACTAAACAAAATAACTACTATAATTAATATAGTAATGATTAATAAAACAAAACTTCTTTGTAATAGATTAGTTAACATTTACTAATAAAATATAGTATTATTAAACTATACAAAAAATTAGGAGAGAAACAGTAAAAACTCAAAACCGTTTTATGTTGAAAGGGTTGTTGACACATCGACGCTCTACACAACCGGGCATTTCCTTTTTATCGAAAGTGAAAGAAGTGACCAACAGCGAGAGTCCGACTACTTTAACAACGAACGACACATCTTTTACTTTCAATCACATTCCTCGGACTGATTTTTCGCTCTTAACAAATTTGACACAACTTTCGATGACTAATATGAAACTCCAGTCGCTTGGGGTGATCGCAAATTTGAAACTTTTAGAACTCGACGTCTCGAACAACGAAATATCCTCTTTTGGACACGCTGAGATGACAACACTCACCAAACTCGATCTCTCCGAAAACCCTTTGTTCGACCTTCACCAGTTCCCGCCGAACTTAGTGGACCTCTCCTTGGGCAACATCGACTTTCGTTCGTTTGTGCCTGTTCTTAAAGTGGTTCTTCCCCTCAAAAAGCTTCGCCGCCTGACCCTCCCACAGTTTGCGCCATGGAGACAAACGACGCAAGAGCGGATTGAACAAGTCCAGTCGCAATTTGACCAAATTCAGAGTCTAGACAACGGCCAAATGCAAGACGTCTTAGAGGGGCGAATAGCCGCGGTGATAGAGCGACTGATGGCGCAAATCGAAGAGATGACGAACGAGTTATCTTCGCTCGAAGAGTTCGACAATCCGTTATTCAGTCGAATTCAAGAGAATTTGACATTAGACGAATTGAATGGGGAGCACCTGACTGCCCGTACTCATGACCAAAGTAGTCTTATTTACGACCACACGAATCCGATTGCTTATGTCGAGCAACGGAAATGTGGTGTTTGCAATGTTCCTTTTGACACTGGATTCAATGTGACGAGTCAGTGGGACAAAATCGAAGGGATAAGTAGTCCAAGGCAATTTGAGTATTCTCCCGTGAGTGGTGAGTTAGCTATTGGGACGATGAAAGGGGCGATCTATGTAGTCGACCACAATACATGTCAACGGATTCAAACGACATATAATGATCCAATATATGGCATAGGGTGGTATAAAACAAGGAATAATCGCATGAAAGCTGTTGTGGGGAGTTCTGAGGGGGAACTTGGAGTCATCGACTCATTTCAAACGAGTTACACCCACATCCATTCCCTTGAGAATCTCTTCTCGTTACATGTGAACACCAGCGATAGATATTTAGTGACGTCGGGGAATGGGAATGGCGTGTGTTTGTTTGATGCGAACACGTTTCAAGTGTATAAAAAGTTTGACGCGATTCATGAAGGAAAAGTGAATGTCGCGCGATTTGGGAATACCGACGAGAACGTCTTGGTGACGAGCTCGTACGACAAAACTATCAAATTGTGGGACTTAAGAAGTGGCTTGAAAAAAGAAGCGCAAGTGATGAAGGGGGTATCACTGTTTATATCAGTCGGCCTGAATTCAAGCGACACGGAAGTAGTAGCGTCGGGGAAGGACAATTATGTCGTTAAATTTGATTTGAGGAAGAATGAAGAGAACAAAGAGAACAAAAGCTCGAAAGGAACGACTATGAAGGTTCAGAAATTGCTCGAAGAGAATAATTACACACGCGCGTACTTCACATGCGACGACAAAAATGTTGTTGTGGCGTCAACTATGCAAACGTCGATATTTATGTGCGACGCTCAAAGTGGGAAATTGGTCGCAGAATGCTTCTTCGACCCATTGAAAATCGACATGTGTGACGGGTTGGTCAGTTTAAGACCACACCCGTTCGACCCATTTGTCGTCTCGGCTATTCCTTTTATTAATGACCCGTTCCAAACACTTGGACTCTATCAATGCGATATAATGAAAGATTTGTAATGGTTTGAATTGAAGAAGACACTTTCAATAACATTTTTGGAGTATTTTATTTGAAATGAAAGGTATTTTTTATTTTATATATTATAATATATATATATTATATTGTATAGTATATTTTCATTACCACCTTAAATAGTATTTAATAAATACCATTGAACATAATTCAAGAACAGATCAAATAATTAATTTATAGTAAATTATTGTTTTTTTGTTTTTTGTCTTTTTTTCAAAATTGGTATTGAAAAAACTATTAAATAGTTTTCAGAAACTATTTTTATAGTGTGTAGTCTGAAAACGGGAAATCACGAGGCTATTATATCATTTACCCGTTTTTTGAAGTTGATAAAGAGAATTTTTTTATACAAGTACAAAAAAGTAATAATTATGAAAAATTTTGAAAATTTTTTTATAATTCCAAAAAAACACTTCAATTACACAAAACTTGAGTTTTTGAAGTGTTAATTTGATTTTTAAGGTACACTAATTTATAAAATTACTTATTAACTAACAAATACAAAGAAGTCCAATTGATATTCTATGAGCCTCGACTATAACACTGTAGTGCAACTTCTAGAGGAATTGATGTGTGGGAAAGGGTCTATCCGTCTTATTCGAAAGATGTGTGAAACGACACAAGGAGAAGGGACAAGCACCAATTTTGTGAAAGACATGTTAGTCTTTTTAGAGGTACGTGGGCAACTGTTAGGGTTTATGTCTAAGATTTTTGACTCGTGGGTGAATGGGAATGATTCTCTTCTGTTTGTTATTCGGAAGAATTTGTGGTCGTACAACTGTTTTATGGTGTACCTGCACTGTTCCAATGGAGTAGAATACCTTCAAAAGCATTTCCAACGGTTTTTTATTGAAGTTTCTGAAGAGATCACTCCCGATTTGCGCGCGGAGTATAAAGAAGTCCGACGGAAAAGTATGCGAGATGAGCGTGAGGAGCGTGGTGAAGAGCGAATTAAGCGTGAGGCGTATATTAGAAAGCAGAATGAGATTCTCCAAAACATCACTTCATCCAATTTAGAAGTTCTAGAAAAGCAGCCTGAGTTGTTTGAAAGTGTGATGCAGTATGTGACGACCTTAGTAGAGAAAATTGTGACCATTTTAATCGACTCTGTGACTGACTTTCCGGGCCAAGTTGCGTATTATTTCAGTATTTTGCAGTTGAAAATTATTAATGGGTATGTCAACACGTCCTCCCAATTTATTTTGTATTTGTTTTTTGAAGGGATTTTAGTGCCCTTTTTGTCGCAGCCCGTTTATTATGGGATGATGGAAACAGTGACTAATAAACAGATGTATATCCTTAACATCTGCATTTTCGTGTTAAGAAACATTGGACTGAACACCCCAGTGAGGTCCGGGTACTTCTCCGTCTTCAATGAATTCATTCAATTCCAACACACTAAATTGATGACCCGATTCTTCAACGTCATCTGCCAAATGCACCCAACACAAACTAAATATCCGGTGACCGACGAAGAATTCCAAAGAGCGTGTTATAGACTTATTAAAACTTTCACGACGTGTAGTATGGTATTGGAACAATCAGTGGTCCAGAACACAGGACAGTCCGATATGTCGACGACTTTGAAGAAGATCAAGGAAAGCTCAAAATTAATGAAAAAACTGTATAAGGAGAAAACTAAGCCAATTGGCGTCTTAGCACCTTTTCAGTCTTTTGGAAAGAAACTTGAAACACTCGAACAAAACAAATTAAAAATGTTCAACGGCCTCTCGCCAAGAACGTTAGCTGCAAATCTGAGATCTAAAAAGTCGGCTTCACTGAATCGAGTTTTGAGTCAAAACAGAAATTATATCAACTACGCAGACTCTAAGACGGGATTGACCCCTATCATGTTCGCTTGTAAAAACCAGGAAATCGAAATATTCAAAGCTTTGTTAAGACTGAACCCAAACTACTTCTTAAGGGATTTTAGAGGGTGGAGTATCGCTCATCACATCTTCTTTGAAAAAAGAATCGACTTGTCCGTCCTCCTCATGGAAAGTCCTTTTTTGAATTTGTTTGATTGGAATGATGACTGTTTGTTAGTATATTAACTATAAATTATTAACTATATATATAAACTATTAATTGTTAATTATTAACTAAAGTATTAACTATATATATAAACTATTAATTGTTAATTATTAACTATTAAATAGTAATACACAATAATATAGAATGACATAGTAGTAAACACCCCACTACATTATTTGGTGCAATTCACCCCATGCACACAACAACTTCAAAACTGTATACTAACGTGTCTCCAAAATGGAGCAGATATAAACTCACTTAATTTGTCGAGAGAGACTCCACTGTTCAGAGCAATAAAGAAACGAAATTTTGATGTTGTGAAAATGTTGTTATTACTTGGAGCAGATCCATTTGTGAATTGTAAGAAGTGGACTCCTTACGAATTTGTACTGGAAGACTCTCAAGATTCGGAAATAAGAAATTTAGTGTTACGCTTTGCCCAACATGGAGTCTTGTCGGACTCTTCGTATGTACGGGTTCCTCAAATTAAATTAGAATATTCAAGGGAGATAGCTGGGGTTTGTTTTTTTATGTTTTTATTGGTATATTGTTCATTTGTATGTGAAGTCTTGTTATTTCACACCAAATAATTTGTATAGTTTTAATTAATCTTTTTTATTACCAATTTAATAAATTAATTAATAAATACTATTTACTTATTCTATAAATACATCTTTCTTTTCTATATCAATAGACGACATAATCTATTAAATTATAATATATTTATTAATAAATATAGTAATTTATATATAGGGTGTTGAAGATCTATTTGTAGCTTTAGAGAAGCATGACCCGATGATGTTTGATGTCCTGTTAGACTCTCACCGGAACGAAGATGAGAAAGGAATGTTTCATGATGGGAATACGATGCTTCATGAGATCTGTAGAAGTGGAGACACCGAAATTCTTAATATTTACATAACAAAGCGTTTTCTCTCGAAACAAAATGTTCGGATTCCAGTAGTTAAAGTTAATGAAGAGGGTGAGACACCATTAATGACTGCATTAAGGAAGAACCGAGGGGAATGCGCTTTAGTTCTATTAAGTTATAATATCGACAACTTAACAGAAACTATTAACACGTCGAATGGCCGCAACATACTTCATTACGTTGCAGATGCTAAGATCCCATCTGAGATTAAAAGTACTTTGTTTCTGTCCCTCATCATTCGAATGGTCAATATTAATCAACAAGATAAGAACGGGAATACGCCATTGCATTTACTGTTAATGCAAAAGGAAGACGTCAAATTGACTGAATTGCTGTTGATGAATGGGGCGGATATGTTCATTGAGAATAAAAGACAACAACAGTGCATTCACATCTCAATTGAAAATAAAGACGTCGCGAACTTTAACTTCTTGTTTGAGCACGAGTACGAGTGGGTCGACGAGGACTTTGAGTTTTATCACACGTTGTATACGGACGACTGCACGTTACTCATTCCACATGTTATTAACTACTTGGTGAGTATCAATGCATCATCACCAGTACATAAGTGGGAAATTGTATTAAAGATGAAAAGACTTTTAGACTTGTCCGGCCTCTTTGATGAGTCGAAAATGGTGAATGGAGATCCACACATTTTTACACAACAAATGGCTATCAAATATGAGTCGGAAACACTTTCAAATCAATTGAAAGAATGTCTCATGAAAGACCAAAAAGATGAAGAAGTCGTCCAAGAAGACTGGATTAGAGAAAGAATTAATATGGGAATATCACAGGGAATTAAAGGAGAAAATACTTTGAAGATCTCAATAGAAATGCTCAAAGAAGACTTACAGAGATGTCTTAATATCCAAAATTCTTTACTCAAGAAAGACACCAAATTCGACGTCCACATTTTGCAAAACTTGGTCAAGAAATTGTATTTCGCTGCGCAACAAGCAAACGCACAATACTACACAACTTCGTCTGTTGATAACCAAAAAGAAAAGGATAACTTTTAACTTTTCATTGTAATTAATTACTTCTTTATGTTAAACTATAAAATGGTATGAAACAGTTATAACTGAATTATCAATACTTAATAATACATTGATAATTTATTATGGATAATTATAATTATACTTAGACAAATATAAATTATTAGTTTATTTAATTATTAATTTTATCGTTTTAATGTTAATAATATTACTAGTTTTTTTTATTTAAATAAAAAGAAAAAAGTGGTTTTTTGACCTTGTGAAGTATTTAACTATAGCTTATTAATAAAATATATATACAGTATAGTTGTATTCTTAAATTTCATCGACCATCTTCTTTACAAAAATGGTTATGAATTGTTGGATTAAATAACTATATTTTATAGTTTGGATAAGAGAAAATCAAGATTGGAATCTTCCAGCTATTATTATTTTAATAATTTGAGAAACACAAACCAAAACACAGAAAATGCTTTTTTATTACTTTTGAGTTTCAATTTACTTTTTTTATTAATACGAATAGTAACTTAATAATAAAAAATAATAAAATAACAGATGTACGTGTTAAAAAACAAAAAAACCAATTGAATGACAAAAAAGGAAGAAAAACTTCAATTTACTATTTTTCAATGAGTTTTTTATAGTAAAAATTAAATTAAAAGAATTAAATGAAATAGTTAAATTGAACGACTTGGATTACCTGAAACGATGGAAGAGTGATGGGTAGTAATTCTATACTTTCTATCTTAAACAACTAAAACCAAAACTATTTTTTAATACCAAAAAGAAACTACGAACAACTTAATAAGCAGTTTTCATGTCATTTCTATCATTTCTTTTCAAAAAGAAGCAGATGAATGTTTTGATGTGTGGGTTGGACAACGCTGGGAAGACATCACTTCTTTTGAAAATGCAAGGCGAAGACCCCAAAAGTGTTGGGACTAAACCGACAGTCGGCTACTTAAATCCCTGTTTTAAATACAAAACGTACGAATGGCTCTTTTGGGACGTTTCTGGAGCAGCAAAATTCAGAGGGTTGTGGCGTTCGTATTATCCAAACTGTAGGTGTGTCTCGTTTGTTATTGATTTGGCAGACTCAGAACGAACTGACGAGGCAATCGACGCACTCAAAAACATGTTAAAAGACCCGGAAATCAAGGACTTGCCTTTCCTCATTTTGTTGAATAAAACAGACCTCAAAGCACACGACAAAGCAATCGACGAGAAAATCGGACTCAACGAAACGCTCAGCAAGAGGTGCAAGATCTTTGCTTGTTCGGCGTATTCCGGCGAGGGCGTTTTCGAGGGTCTCGACTGGCTCTGCTATACTATGAAAAAAAATTCAAAGAAATGACGCGTTTTTGTGGTTCATTTCTGTTCATAAACAAAAACTCTTATAATGTGGTTTGTTGGAAGATGTCCTGATTGAATCGCCGTGATATAAACCACTAAATTACATGTTTTGCACAGTCATTGGCACAAGTTGTTCATGATGGTCTTTGAGTTCATAGCTTCCTCGAGCAGCATTGGCAGCTGGCCAGTCGTGGTCATTTCTTTCACACTCTTCTCCAGCTGAATCACAGAGTTTTCAAGGACTTCTTGTCGATACAGAAACAAATCTGAGGCGACGTCGTCTCTGGGCAGAAAGAACATTTTGACGTAGGAGTACTGGAGAGCTTTGAGGCAATTTTCGACAGATGAACAAATCATTCCCAGAACCTCGACCTGTGCCAAGTTCTTTGTCTTCTCAAAAAGCATCTTTTTGTGTTGCACAACCTCCTCGAAGCGGCCAATTTCTATTTTGTTGTTCAAAAAGTGTTCGTAATAATACTCATACCTCTCGGCATCCGACTTTGTCTTTTCCGCCTCTTCGTCGAGTTTTTTGGCCTCGGACTTTTCGTAGAGTGTGCATCTGTAAAAACCGCCAGTCTTCGGTCCGTGGTTTTTCCAGTCCCCTCTACACATCCAACACCACTCACCATGGCACTTTGGACACGTCATGTGATTGCACCCTTTTGTCCTTTCGGTCATGAGCCCACAATGGAAACATGGTTTTGAAATTGCATTAATTGCGCGCTGACTCTCCGCCTCCTCCTGGTACTGTCCTTCCCATTTCTCAACTTCGGCACACGTTGCTGGTTCGTGCCTCTCTCTTCCACAACCAAAGCAAAACTCATGGCCGCAGTAACAAGAAACTTTGATGTTTGGTTTTCCGGAATGGATTACGTGGATCACTCTCTCGCACTCATTTCCACAACATCTCTGGTACGAGCGGTGTTGTGCTAAAAAGTTGTGGACAACCATTTTCTTGTAGAGTGTAATTACCTCTTTAGAGCAGTACGAGAGAACAAATTGGAGCGACAACGGTTGTACACATCCCGCTTGCATACAATGGAAGCTGTCATACGAAAACGTCGCGTTTGTTTTCAAATTGTCGTTCCAACACTTAACACAGAACATGTGCCCACACCTTTCTCCCACCAACCGTCCTTCCTCATAGCATATGTCACATGTCCCATCCTTCATGAACAACTCAAACGAAGGTCCATTCTTTTTCGGTTTGTTTGTCCCTCCAGATAGCACCGCGATCGATGATTGATCCAATTCAACTTCGTTGACCTCTGAAAATGTATTGATTTCGTCGAGAAACAAGTTGTAGATATCTTCCTTTGTCAAGATCTCGTACTTTGGCTTATTTGGAGTTTCGTATGAAATGACATTTTCGGAGTCGCTTTGACTGTCCAAGTCGTCGGGTGTGTTAAAAGACAGTGGTTGCAGTGTGATATACGATGGTTTCAAATTGGGCGATTTAACCTTTTTCTTCATGACGACGAGTTTTGCCTCTCTCTTTCTTTTCTCCTCCTCATTGCTTTGTGTGGTGAGAGCGTTTTGAACAGCAGCGTCCATGTTCCAGCTTGATCGGATGAGTGAGTTCGTCGCAGTGATTGCATTGAACCCCATCTGCATTAAAGTGGCAATGGACTTGACTTTCCGTCCTTTAAATCGTTCAACAATTTGTCGATCATTGATGGTTGAGCAAACAGCACAGGGGTGACGTTCGGAATGGCACCTTTTACATATAACAAAGGCACCACAGACAGTGCAAACATACACTTTGCTAAATATGGAAACAGTCTTCAGACAATCCTCACAAACAACAGTTTTGCTTATGTAGATCTTTTTAAAGCTATCCACAATGGCCATTTCTTTGTGTATTTCCTCCGATTTTTTGCACCCAAATGTGCTGGCGTTCGACCATTACAATCTCGTCGAACTTTTCACAATTTTCAAAACACAAATTTCTCAAAAAAACCACTCTCGTTACGTCACCTTGACGGGATGTGGTGGTGTTGATGTATTTTTTTACAATCTGGAATGGAATGACAAAACTAAAAACAATTATTTTTATTTTTTTTTATTTATTTATAGGTATTAATAACTTTTTTACTATTCCTTTTTTATATAACTTGGATTTAAAAGTTAGACTAGACCCTTGAATTGAACAAATTCAATTTTTAAAACTCAGTTATTTTTGTGGAGACATATATTAAAAAAAATTAGTTTTTAATAACAAAAACAATAACAAAAAACCTTTTTTTTAAAAGGTTAATTGAGGTTTATTTTTTAAATTTCAATATATTTAAATAATTAATAATTTGTCATAGTAATTAAAATTATTAGTATTATTATACTATCTAAAAAAAATTTCAAATATAATAAATATAATTATAATTTTTAATTACAATTCATATAAAATTAAATTATTACAATAAAGATAAAAACAAAAAAAATAAAGTGAAATGTTTTGTCAAGGAGTTGCAGGAGTGGTACGTATTTTTGTGCGGATGTTAACATACACCCTTGTAACTGGCGCATTTGTATTATTTTTTATTTCATGCTTCATCCATTTCACTGTGATCATTCCTTCAATGTATTACGTTTATCCAACGTTTCTCGCAATTATTATTACACTTCTCTCAATGTACCAAGTACTTTTCTTCTCAGTTATGTATGTCCGTACAATGTTTACAGCGGCAGGGACTCCGCCGCCGTCAGCCGAGTTATCGAAGTACTTTAACGGACCGATAGAATCGAGTCCCTTCACTGTATGTCCAAAGTGCAACGCGCTGAAACCGTTTCGGTGTCACCACTGTTCGATATGCAATAAATGTGTCTTACGGATGGATCACCATTGTGTGTGGATGTGCAATGACATCGGTGTTGGCAACGTCCGTTTTTTCGTCTGCTTTTTGGTTTCCTTTGCAATTTCTCTCCTTTTAGCTTTTGTCGTTACGGCACCGTTAAATCTCAAGTTGTCACTTTCCATAAAATTGTTAATGACGCTCGAGGCGGTATTGGGTGTCGGGATCGGCATCTTTAGTTTTTTTCATGTCATATTTGTTCTCACCAATCAAACATCATTAGAAGTTGCAGACAACATAAGAGATTATTTTTTAAGACCAAAAAATGAGAGAAAGTTCATCACCCCATATGACTTGGGAATCGCAAAAAATGTCAAACAAATTCTGAGATTTAACAAGTGGTGGGAACTTTTTAATCCTTTTGCAAAGCAGGTCGATATAAATCAACTTGATGTGATTATTTCGCGAAAATTTATGGAGTACACTGATTTTCTTGACGATGAAGAGGAAGATGAAAATAACGGAATTGTAAATCATTGATGCTTTAAAAAGATATCTTGTATTAACCCGTGTTGATCTTTAAATAGAGAATACGTCAAATTTTTAATAAAAAAATATTTAAAAATAAAAAAAAATATTTGAAAATATTAAAAGTTGAATTAATGTTCACTTTGGAGGAAGTGAATAAAATGTTCAACATTCAGGAACTTGAAAAGTAATAGCAACGGTCGATGAGTTTGTTTTCGGTGTTCCGCACAAAGCATGTGAATGTACTTCTATGTGGGTTTGATGGAGTTGGGAAGACTTCGATCACGCTCAGTTTGTCTGGTTTAAATCCATCAGTCTTTCCACCGAAGCCTACATTTGGGTATAATTCCCCAACTCTACACTTCAGTGGAGTCAAATGGATTTTTTGGGATGTATGTGGCCAACAAAAGTTTCGAAATTTGTGGCGGTCGTATTATAAGAATGTTCAATGTGTTGCGTTTGTTATTGATGCAACTGATACTGAACGTTTTGAAGACGTAAAATCGACATTAATAGCTATGATTAATGACCAAGAACTCAAAAATTGCCCTTTTTTGGTCTGGGTCAATAAAGGACATGTGGACAAATTAAATGAGCTGCCGAAAAATAAAGTCCTCGTTTTGGACTGCGACGCAATGAATGGAACTGGTCTTAAAGAAGGACTCAAATGGCTTAAAAAGGAAGTCAACCCAAAAAAGTGAGTGCCGATATGAATTGGGGCATGGGAAAATAACGATGTTTTAAGTATAACTTTATGTGTATGTGGTTTTTTATCGGACAAAAAATAAACAGAAACTTTGAGTTTGTTAAACTCTATTTATATTATATTTTGTAACTTATTATTTTACAGTCAGGGAATTTAAATCAAATGTCGTTTATTGTATTATTTTTGTTTATTATATTTATAATAAAAAATTTTATTAATCAAAGCATTTTTTTACCTTCATTTCTATAATAATAAAATAGTACTATATAAATAGTAAAAAAACGTCGAAATAAATATGTTATTAAATTACAATTACTATATATTATATCTATAATATATAGATAGAATTTACTTAATTATAGCAAGCACTAAAGCCAATGCGGCGCAGTTTTTTCTTCCAAACTAACAGTCTGGGTATCGAATCCCGGTTAGTGCATTTTTTGTTTTTTTTATTATTAATAATAATTTTAATTATCTTTATTATATTAATTATATTAATTATATTAATTATATTAATTAATATAAAGTACAATCAAAATAAACTATTGTATATAGTATAAATAATTAAATTTTATTAATAAAATTAAACATACAAATATATTTTTGAAAAAAAGAATTTACAGTTTTTTACTTAGTAAAATATAGAAAATATAATAAAAAAAAATATTATTAACAAACTAATAATTGTAATACTATCTTTACCTGATTATTTTTATAAAATAATTATCTTAAAAATACTATAATAATAATAATAATAAATAAAAATTTCCAAAACACTGAAAGTGTAATAATTCAATACTCTTGTTGTTTTTTTTACTTGAAAAATACACATTTTGATGAACAATTTCACAACATTAAAAAAAAGGATAATAATAGAAACTATACAAGATACAATCAAATAAAGAAAGACAAAACGTTTTCTCTTTGAATTGGATCGAGTCGCTCGACAACTGTTTTAAAGTCGTTTTGGAATCCGTTTGCGAGGGCGACAAGGACTGTTTTTGCCTTATTTAGTGTTTCCGAGATTTGAGCTCTTTCGCTCAAATTTTTTGCGATCATGAATATGCAGATTTGCATCATTCCACTGTCTGCTATATTTAACAGTCCTTCGTAGATCAAGTCAATCAGTATTTTTCCGGTCTTAGCCACTCCCACTTTTGGTGGTAACAGTTGGAACCATTGAGTTCCCAATTGTCTATTTTTGCTCAGCAGAATGAGTTTTCCAATTCCTCTAATAGCCTTTGCTCTTAAATAGTCGTTTTGCTCTTGTCTTGCAATTTCCCACAAAACAGTTCCCACAAGATCCATATTTTCAAACCCTCGTTCACATGATGCTATTAAAGCACTCATCCCAGCTTCTCTAACAGCCAATTCTGTGTCTTTTAATGTTTCTAATAACCCATTGACCTTTAAAGACCCGTCTCGAATAGCTATTTTAATGATTCGAAGGGATGCAACTTTCCCTTCTATTCCTCCTAAGAACTTCTCTTTGACAATTGGGAAGACATAATGCAGAAAATCAGGAAACATGTTACCTAAACAAATCGCAGTGGAAAGAGCCGCTGTCACTGATGATAACACTTCACTCATCCGCCGCTGAAATCGCTCGATTTGTGAAACTACCGTCGCGATGTTACCCATCACAACGGCACCACTCAACGGGACTTCATGCGAGATTATACGCTCTAAACTATTCACACTCGCTATACACAAGTCACTCTCTGGGTTCTTACAACCACGACCAAACACGGCAATGAGCCGCTCCCCTGCTATATTGTCCGTCGTTGTAATTTGGGAAGAATAGTTGATATAGAAGGACCCACAAATCTCAACGGCAATGGCCGCAAAGTGTTTGTCGATAGAATAAGACGTCGTCACAACAATGTCTAAGATATCTTGAACGCGAGGTAGACAGACGGGAAACGCTTCATTGACTATCACTGAAAGACAGTTGAACGCACTTTCCTTCTCGTCAGCTAACCCGCCATGAGTCGATGTCGGTGGAAGACTAAGTTTACATCGCGAGAGAAGAATGGGGAAGTATGTGTCCAAAAAAGGGTACAATTGAGTCTTCAGTGCAATCATTAGACGCACTATGATCATTTCTACATACCCAAATAAGCCATCACTGATTTTTAAATTTGGTAATTGAATACTTGTATTCAGTTGAGAAAGTAACTGCTCGGTGAACGTGGGGACACTCGATAAATCCATATACGACGCGATGACCTTCAAATGAATTGAATTCGGTTATTAAGATATTATAGTATATTAAATTATAATTTTATACTATTTATTATACTTTATTATATTAATTTATATTAATTTATATATAATATATGTAATCAAGGAGAAAATTGATTCAAAAAATAATATATTATAGTATATATTGTATTTATAATAATATAGTGACTAAATTAATTTAGTTAATATACTAATCAATATGGTGATACTAGAAAATAGATTAAATAATAGTAAAAAAATAGAAGAATGACAAACGGAAAGTGATTCGATGATTCTTCCTCGTAAATCGAAATAATCTGCCGATATCGGTAACTTTTTGAGTAAGTCGAAGTACCCATTTAAAAAATCCATAAAATGTGGCTGAAAAGCCTTTCCGACTTGATTAATTAAAAATGAAACCGAACAAATAGCAGAAGACAACACTTGTGGTTGTGGAGATACCAAAAGTGGTTTAATCATTTCCAAAATATTTTCCATTTGAGTTTTAATATTACTTTTTGGGGAGTTAATAATATAAACGGCCAAAAAGTCGCATCCGGATGACTGCAATTTTGGGATCTTTGACTTTGTACATTCCCCAATTAATTGGCAGACTTTCATTTCATTACTTTTTAAAAAAGTTTTGTCGATATGGATCGCAACTTCGATGAACAAAACGAGTTCATGAGTCACTCTTGGGTGGATCATACAGACTCCCAGAAACAAATCAAACAACGCCTGTACCCCTTCTTTATTTCTTGTCCTTTTAATAAGAACTTTCGCCATAAATACACACGCCCGGACATTCTGCCACCCCATCAGACTTCTATTTCCGAAGATTCGTGTGATGATATTCGACACATTAGCCATTCCAATATATTCACTTAACTTCTGAAAGGATTCTTGTGCTGCAAAACACCTTGAATCGTCCTCTACTTGACACATATACCACTCTTGTGTGTCACTCAGACTACTCATCCATTGGAATAACACTTCAACCAACGGCACTTCAAAGGTCCCAAGCGTCTGATACGTCTCTCCCAATTCACTTAATAACGTCATCGCTGTGATCGCGTCAGTGCTCGGTAGCTTCAACGCCTCAAAAGCAAACTTCGCAGTCAATTCGATGAAGTCGATGAAGAGTGCAGTCTCTTCGTTCAACTTCGAGATCTTCTCTATCACACTTTGTGCATACGACCGATCCGTTTGGATCACTCGGACTGCACTATTTAAAAAGATCGGATACTGCGACACCGTCACCCGTAACATCTCTTTGCCGTGGTCTTCCGCAACCGACGCCAATGAGTAGTACAACTCCAAAGAAGACTCGACGACGGACGGGACGTCCGTCGTGTGCTTGATCGCGACTTCGATCGCGTGCGTCACAAATTCGACGGGAACTTCGCCGAATAAGACGAGGGACGCTATAGTGAATAAAGCGATCGAGCGGTGCTCTTCTGTTTTATAATTTAAAAGGGCGTCGAGTGTTTGGTAGAGGTTTGGGTATTCATTATCGATGACAAAGAGGTCGTAGATGAGGTTTGAGTATGCAACTAATAACCGACGTGGTGCGTTCGTTGTGAGATAGACTAACAGTTGTGAGCGAAGTTGATTCTTCTGGTCGTCGGATAAAAATTGATACAGTGGAGTCGTTGTCCGATACATGTTCTTTGATAGAAGGTTGGCAGATAACACCTTCACATCTACGTTACTCGACGTGAAACTTTGAAGATGAAATTGAATGACTGTCACGGGGTTGTTGTACATCGAAAAGTATAGTTGTTCCGCTTGATTACGAAGAGTGTTGTCTGGTGATAAAAGTTGAAGTAATAAAGACTCGGCAGACATTAGTATTGATCAAAGATCTTATTAAGTCCACTTTTCAAGTTTAATGTGTTCATTGATTGGGGGTTTTGTATGTCATTCTCTATTTTAAACATTATTGTTGTCATATGTTAATAAATTTGTCTAAAATATTGTTTTTTTTTCATTTTTTAATTAAAAAAGTGAAAAAAAAATAATATGATAGTATAATATAACATTCATAATAATAATGTCTTAATTATTATGATATAATAATTTAAACTATAAATTGTGGTTTAAAATAGGTATTATTAAACAATAATAATTAATAGTATCATATAGTACTTGTAATTTATAATATAATTATAATTAATAAAACCATAAACAATAGAAATGACATTGCTAGATAAAAGGAGACCAACTACTCGATGTGTTGTTGTGCCATTTGTTGTTGTCTTGGGTAAAAACCACCTCTTCCTCTAAACATATTTTGTCGAGGGGAGTTAGTAGTTGGGGAGTTGTTTGTTCCACTTTTAAAAATAGATGTAGTCGGTGATTCTCTCTTTTTTGTTTGTTCCAAAGCACTTGGTTCCACTGTAGAAGTTGGTCTCTTTTTATTCTTTTGTGTGAAGAGTATTGGTTTGAGTGGTGAAGAAGCTTCATTGGGTGAACGGTTAAGTGGTGAAGAGTCTCTTTGGTGTTCTATAGGGATAGGAGTTGTTAAATTTCCTTCAAAGGAACTTTCGTGGACTGCTTGTGGTGTTTCGGGACTTTTTTGTTCTTTGAGTTCAGGACTTTCTTCCGTCTCTTTAGTTTCTTTTAAATATTCTTTCAACAATTCTTTAGGTGGTTCTTTTGTAAATTCTTTACTCATGTCTTTGACTTCTCGAGGACTTTTATTTTCCTCTTTTACTTTATTGAAATCGTTCACCGTCAATGGCCGACCTTTTCTTATTCCTAAAAATCCATTACACTTCTCTTTAGGTGTTGAATTTCCTGTTATACTTCTTGGGGAGATATTTTCGAAACAAAACGGGATATTAGGAACAATTAGTTCTTCCTCTTCAATCGAACACTTTTTTTGTAATTGAGTGATTCGCTCTCCCATCTTTTTCATCACCGCGTTTTGTTGTTCAACAAAACACAACAACGTCTTAAAGTTCTCTTCCAATTGTCTTAATTTAGTTTTGTCTTCGTTTTCCATCACATTTATACTATTAGAACTCTTTTCTACTTTCGTTTCCGTCTTCTTTTCTATAACTTTATCGTTCTTTTTCTCATAATTCTTATCACTACTTTTCTCTAAAAATCCCGAAGATTTATTATAGTGGAGTGGTTGCATAAAAGTCCACTCATTTGTACTCTGTGTGTAATTTTGGAGTCCATTTTCGTTACTTTCTTTGACTTCTTCTTTCCCAAAATTCAAATCTATTTTCCCGGAAAGTGGGGGGACTTTTCCTATTAAAACAGATCGTGGTCGGAACTCATCTCTTTTTGGTTCAATTTTCCTTTTAGCCATAGATATAGTCATTCGTTCTTTAGAAGCTTTTGCAACCTCTTCTGCCATAACCTTATCAGAGACAGCGCCAGTCGGGCAGACTGCTGGATACAGTGGCGGGTACATCCCGAGTTTGATATTTTGTGCTTTGATATCCTTAAAGAGTTGGTCGTAGTGATTTAAGAAGGTCTCGAAGACCGTTCGAGTTTTCTTCGAGTTGTCCATTTCAAACTTTGGGTCGACTTCGTTTGAGTAAATAACACTTGGTGCAAAGCACACAGCCAAGTTGACTGTGTCCATCTGTGTGATGTCTTTATGTTTTAATATTTCGACTAAAAAGTCACATAAATACCATAACATGTTTTTGTTCGTCTCAGGAAGGGCATCGACAATTTTACTCACTTTTTTTATTCGTTTCTCAATGTTTTCTTCACCACCAGCTTCAACGCAATTTTGATAGAAACACGACGGTACCAACCCATCAGATATTTCACGTATAAAGGCTTTAATAATACCCGCCGCAACATGAACAGAGTCTTCCTCTGGTCCAAACTCGTTATCTAAAATGTCTTGTCCTGAGTCAAGTTGCTCTTTCACGCGTTTTAACCACTCGAAGACGGGTGACACGCGAAAGATCCCTTCAGTCACAAATCTGTCTTTTTGCTTTAAAAATTGGATGGATCTATAAATGGGAAGGGGGAACCGCCACCCACACTTTTTCTTAGTTGTGATGGATTGCAGGGGATACCCAAACACCCCTGTAAAATTTGAAAAAAGAGGAATTGAGTTGACCCATTGTAAGTAGTCGATCTGTGTGTTGCACATAAACTGATAACATTTGTTTGTCATTATTTCAAAAGACAATTTCACTTTGTCTTCTGGGAAACGGTTTTTGTTTGAAATGTTCTTGTTAAAAACTGAAGAATCAAATGGGATTAAAAGTTTTTCTTTTGAAAGAGTCTCGTCTTGATACAGACGAAGACCATCCGGAAAAAGTGCTAAATAGACTTTATTGAATTTTTTGTTTGTACTTATCCTATACTCCACCCACCCACACGTGTTTTGTATTTTCTATGTGTTAGAAACGTTTGCCATTTAAAAAAACAAGCAACAAACACTCATCTAAATTTAAAGTTAATACTTTTTGAGTTTGAAAAAATCGTATTCTTCTTTTGGGTAGATTTTTTTGATGGTTAAAATAAGGCTGTTTTGAAAGGAAGTTTTACATTTATAAAAAATATGCAGTTATTCCAATCTTTTAAGTGGCAATTGGGTATTATCAATTCTATTAACAAGTCCTCTATTTTAGGTGTAATGTTTTGCTCGAATTGATAAAATAATCTTTTTTAATGATTTGGTGTATTATTAATTATAACTAAAATTATAATAGTTGTATAATACCGACTGATTAAAGTTACAAACAAGGAATTATACCAACAAGAAAAAAAGTATAGTATTGTTGCTTAATAAAATATGAAAAAACTGCTTTTTTTGTACCAATTGGATTTTTCAAAAAGGAAATTATGAATCAACAAAATATCAAATTATTTTTTTTTATTTGTTATTATTTTTTTTAATAACATTTTAATTTTATATAACTTGTCTAATTATATAATAAATTAATAGTTGGTCTGGAAATCAATAAGTTTATTATAGAAATTATTATAAAATATACTGATAAGTTTTTATTATTTTAATACTATTTTTTTAGTAGAAATATAAACTAATAAACTATGGTTTTTATATTAGTATTTTATAATAATGAACTTAAAATTTAATTATAATATTTACTATAATTTTATTACAAAAAGGATTAAAAAAATAGTCAAAAAAAAATATTTTATTATTAGAAAAAAATTATTTAATTTAAAAACAAAATATATTTGAAAAAAAATAAAAACAATTGGTTTTAATTTCAATAAAAAAAACATAATGTTTTTGTAAAAATTATTTATGAAATTATTTGGTTTGAAAAAAAAATAAAATGAGTCTAAAAATTCAAGATATTAGTATTATAATATAACATCAAACAAGAATTACATTTATATTTTATAATTGTTTTTATTATATGTAATAGTTAATAACTTTTATTTTTTTAACCATACAAAAATTTCATTAACGCTTAAAAAACAAATGGAAGAAAAATTGGGTTACAGAAAAAAAATAAGGATTAAATGATGTAAAAAGTGGGATTTGGTTTTTTATTTTTAATTTATATTTTCACAAAATAACAATTTCTATAAAAGACTTATTAAATTACTTAAAATAAATCTGTCACCCAATTAATTCTTGTCACCCATAAATTACTCTATCTGTAATTGAATTTATTTTTTTTATTTTATTGCTCTGAATAGCTTAATAATCAGTTTAAATAATGAGTTGTTTTGTATTTAATACCATTTTTTGTGATATTTACATTTACAATATAAATGATAAATACATCTAACATTTTTAAAGTAATTGATCTAACCTGAAAACTTGGCATAATGTCAACATTCATTTTATTTTATTACATTTAAAATTTTGGATTCGATTTTTAAATATGAAAAATACACTAAAATTTGTGAGAAACGACTTAATAAAAATTTAGACCTTTTCGAATGTTTTTCTAACTAAGAAAACAAAAACAAACAAGGAGAAGACCATTGAATTACAATGGACTTTTAATTGAAATTATTAATTATATAAACGTTTTAACAGAGTTCCGTATTTGATACAATCAATTAAAGTGTATAATTTTATAGTATCACACATGCGAATTGACCTTACTTATTACATAACAAATAGAGTTCACTTTCTCTCAAAGTGTGTATTAAGAGCAATGTCTTTAATCAAAAGAGTATGTTCTTTGCATTGTACACTGGTCATAGAAAACAGTTGAGCGTTGATTCTTTCCCCGATGACTTCAATTTGCTTGTACCCAAACGCCAATTTGTTCCCAAAGTAAATTTCCTCGATGAAGTCGATTTTGTTTCTGTTGAATTTGTTCTTCATTTTCGACGTGAAAAAGAGGAACCCAAACTCCGTCGCAACGTCGACCAAAAATTCAAAGAGAACAACCATCTTTTCTTCGTCCATTTTATGTTTCAAATTTTTCTTTGAGAGTTGATGCGGTTGTGTTGAACACCACTTGCACTGCGCTTCGAGGAAGTTCTCGACGTTCACCACTTCGTCTTTAAAATTCAACGTTTTCACCTTAAAAAACTGATGCGTCTGACTCGAGCGCTTTCTCGGTCGTTCATACGTCACACCACAAACTTGGTTAACTAACCCTATCAGAAAAGAAAGCTGCACAGAGCGTTTGTTTTTGTTGACTCTGGAGTCTAATGTGTGCTTCTCGCGCTTACTAAGCTTCTTCGAGTCGTACGTAGAGTCGTCACTAAGGCGCTTGGACATCGTTTTGTCCTCCATTAAATACCTTTCAAGCTCTTTTTTGGACTATAAATTTCTTTAAAACTTCTGTTCTATATTTGGAAAATGGAAGTACTGTCTTTTACTGACTATAGTTTAAGAGGAATTTGTCTGTGGTATCGGGGTTTCGTCATCTGTAAAGTGGATTTCGGCATTTCGAGCTTTTAATTACAATCAAGGAATCTCATTCGATAAACACTTAATTATTTTATTACTCCTACTTAATTTTATTATCGTGGCGTCGCAACAAAAAAATATTGAATGGGTGGATTAAAACGATATGGTAAGAAACATGAAAAAGTTTTAATAAATGGGACCAGCGTATAGAGATGCATTTTTTACTTTTTTATATACACTTTTTTACATTAAATTTATGTAACAATAATTTGGTGTTTTTAAGATATTTATATCGATGAAAACAACAACGTGGTATTCAAAAGATTTAATTTGCTGTTCACAGGCATTTCGCTTTTTTGCACACGCCGATTCAACATCGTGTCGTTGTTTTGACAAATTATTTTTTTAAGTGTTATTGCTTTTTTTAGAACAAATTCAATTCCCACAAATGTAATTTCCCTTATAATAATACCAAAAAGCACAAATTTCCCGTCTTTTTATTATATTTTTAACCATTTGTTTGTAGCCATAATAAAGCTGCATTTTTAAAAGCAGTGGCGATGTTGGAATTACATTAGATTTCCCGCAATTCAGTTTAAATGCCATGTCTTATACGAAGTAATTGAAAATCTTAATATTTCGCGATTTTCAGTTCCTCGCTAAATTTTGCAATTTTTGGCATTTTTTTTTTCCGTTTAGTACAAAAAGCGGAAAACACGCGGAAAAACGTGCTTGTTGTATTAATAACAAACGCTATTTATTTATTCCAATCATAGAAAACTAGAAAAAAATTCTAACATTATTACCAGAAATGAACGGCTCAAAAAACATTGATTATTGGGTATTTTTTTCCCGAATTGCGGAAGTGTTGGTGTTAAAATCAACAAAAAATATTCTCGTGGACTACCCGCTATGTTGCGATTTTTTTATTAAAATTACAAGAGATTTTTTCTCAACTCGTGGAGGCTTGAGTATTGGTCATTCGCCATTACAAGTCAATAGTTTTTTATTACTTTAATTTCTATTTTTGTGTGTTAAAAGCATGTGTTGTGGTATAACTTTATCATAGTTCAATTATCAATTAATACATATTATCGAAGTCCAACTCCCAAAAGAAATGTTTTTTGAACCACTTTCGTAAAATAGTATTTTTGGCACCAAAAAAAGACGAAAACCTTTCTTTTGTGTTTTAGGGGTTGTCATGCAACACTAACAAACCAAATTCAAATCCGACAAAAAACACAAAATATAATAAGTTTTACTAAACTCCATAGTTATTGATGCCACGTGTGATCAAACGGTTAATTTATACTCGGTTGTTTTAAGATAATGTTTGGGTTTAAAGAGAAAAATGTGATGATTTACCCGACATTGACTAATGCGGTTGGCTTTTATATCTTTCGTTTTATTGGTTTTGAGCAATAAAACTGAAATGTATTTTACATTTGCTTCCTAAATATGTAGATCCTCTCTATTCCTTTTTGCATTCATTATTTATTTAATTGTTTGAATTATAATTATACTAAAACGAATAAAACATCGTTTTTTTGGTTTTCGATAAAAAGTAATTGTTTTTGGATTGTTTTTTGTTGTTGATTTATTAATTAAAATGTCTAATTTAAATATAATAAAAATAACAATGATTGGATAATAATAATTTTTAATTAAAGTCGGATTTTTAATTAATGATGGAAAAAATTAACTATATATTTAGTTTTTTAATTGTAATAAATAGCTTTTTTTCGAAATAATAATTTTTTGTTTTTTTTTAATTTTTTTAACTTTTTGACCACATTATACATCCAAAAAAAGAAAGCAAGAAATTTGGAGTTTGTAATTCCTCTCTGACGAATTCTCGAGTAATGTCAACACAATCGGCAGACCATTTAATATAGTTAATTACAGAAGTGTCATAGTTATAAGGCGATTAATAGGTCATACCAATTGATTTGAAAAGCAAAGAAAACGATTGACAACCAGCGTTTTTTTGAGAATGTCAAATGGTAATAATTAATAAGAAATATACTATGTATTTATGGTTTTTAATTAACGATGGTCGATACTATATATTATAATATAAAAAACTGATATAGTAAAGATCCTTCTTGTATTTTTAGAATATCCTTAATTAGAATTCAGACTTTAATTAATAATAATATTATTATTATTAGTAGTAGTATTAGTATTATTATACTAATAACTATTTTTTTTATTAATTATTTTATTTTAAAAACAGTTTTTCAATTTGTTTTTAATGACATTTTAATTTTTTATTTATAGAAAAAAAAATTTTAGTTTTGTCTAGAATTGTGGAATATAACAAAAAAACATTTTTGAATGGTTTTCAATCCAATATTAAAAATGATATATTATAAATCAATATTATATTACAAATGAAATGGTATATTTTTGTAACCCAAATAATAGTTTTTTTATAGTAAATATATAATTATAATACGGAAAAAAAATAAACAATTTTTGAATAAATTGTTGAAGTATCAACAAATTGTGAAAAAATTTTACTTAACCGATTAAAATAAACGAGACGCAAAAAAACGCGTTTAAAAAAATAAAATTGAAATTTTGGTTATTGTTTTTGTTTAGATAAAATGTGTAAAATTATTTTTAGATTTTTTTTAAATAAAATAACTAACAATTCTTTTGTAAACCCATTCTGCCGCACAAATCAACGAAAAATTTAATTGTAATAAGTTTGTCTTGCTACTCCGATGTTGTCACAGTTATGACAAAGATTTTTCTACTCATCACTAGTGTCTGGGAAAAAAATTGGTCGATTATGTTCCAGACCTAAAGCTAAAATCGCATTAGAATAATTGTAAAAACCTAGTGTCTGATCTCTTGCTGTAATGTGAAAACTGCTGAAAGATGCCTCTTCATACAATAGCAAATTTATATGTAAATTATTTTTAGAATTTTTTTCTCATTTTTATATTTATAGAAAAAAAAAACGCAATTTTTTGCGTCTCGTGCATTTTGCCAAAGAAAAAAAATACTATTGGCAGGTTAAAAGACATGAAAAAACAATCGAATACTCAACTTGAATTTCTATTTTAAGCATATTTTTTGGATTTTGAAAAAACAATATTATATTTATCCAAAATAATGTATGTTAATGTATTGGTAAATTTTTCCAATCAAACGGGGATTTTCCGTTATGTTTCAAATTTTTTTCAAGTTGAACAATAAATAAAACACAAGGATTTTATTCCACACTATCCCACATTGTGAGCTGTTTCTATCGAAAAAAACTTACTCGAAACAAAATGGGTGTGGCGACCGAACAAAAAAGCTTAAAAACACAAAATCCATTAAATAAAGTGGTTATGAATTCCCCACACTACAAAAAGCCGTTGGCACACTACAACACGCGTCAGTTCTCTGTCAGCTCGGAAGATGAAGTTGTTGAGCTTAGTAAGAGTTTTGTTATTGAGCAAAAGCACAGCTCTCTCTCTACTTCTAATTCCCCAGCACTTTTGCCTATTAATTTTTCTAGGTCTCCGTCGCGTCCAACTTCCCCCGTTTTAGTCAAAATCGTTAATTAATATATTATATCTGTATTAATTGCATAACTTAATTACAACTATTGATTTATTTATTTTACATGATTTTTTAATATAATATATTAGTATTATAATTTAATTTATTAATTTAAAAATATTATGGAAATATAATATAACTTATTGATATAAACTAAAATTAATAGTACTAAATATATTTAATTATAAGTATTAGTAATTGTATTATATTCTATTAAATACTCTCATTCCAAATTTTTACAAGTACTTTTAATAAATTAAACTATTATTTTACTAGTACATAAAAAAAGAATAATAATTACAAAATACTATATAAATAACAATATTAAATTATTCACTTTTATATATATAATTATTATAAGTTGCTATTAGAAAATGTGATCTTTGTTTATTCCAAATGGTGATGTATTGGCACTTTACCAATAAAGTGATGCTATTAGTTTTTATATGTATCGTGTCTTTGACTTTTTCACAACCAACAAAAGTCGTGTTGACTATGAGTAAGACTGAAAACGTCATTCTCTCACCGCCGTATACTGATCTTGAAAGTAATAAATGTGAACTTGGAAAACATAAAGGTGTGCTCTACGAGTTCAAGAACACTTCCCCAAGAAACGTCAAACTCAATTTGGACTTTTACAACAATCCTCCGAACAAGATTCATGTCGCGTTATTTGACACAACAAAATGTTTAGTCAAACAAGACTCAAAGACACACCTCTCTGAAATCCGACACATAGTACGTCCTTCACAAACAATACACTTAGCTATCTATTCAACAAATGAGAAAGGCGAAGACGTTGATGCGCGCGTTGTAGTCCGTATCCGCTCGAATTTACAAGTCGTCCGTTCCTCTCCCAATAGAGGCAAAAGCTGCCCGGACGCCTCTCCTCTATTTAGTCAAATGTATTTTCGAGGGACTGGAGTGAAGTGGTACACCATCAAAGTTATGAAAAATGAGAAAAGAGTGATAACCACGTGTTCTGGATTCACACAGATGCCCGTCAAATTAGAAATATATGACACGTGTAGTGGTCATCTCATCGACTTCACAGAGACAAAGTGTAACACTGCGAATGGGGTCTCCGGCTTTTTTAAAGCGGAAAAGAGTGGGAGAGTCTATTTGAAAGTGACTCCCCTGCCGGGGCTCAGAAAAGACGTCAAAACGAAGTCTTTGAAAACACAAAGACGTCTGAAGAGAAAAAGTCCACAGGTGGAAGGAAGAAGAACGAATCGGTCACTTGATAGGTATGCTATTGAAACATTCTCGGACACTCAAAAGACACACTACGCTAAGTGCGAAGCAGCGAAAGTCATCTCGTCGTTTTATGTGCAAGACAACGTCCATTTCATGAACTTCGCGAAGACTAAAAGCGAGTGCGGGGGGGTATCGCGAGCAGCGTATTACAAAATATTTGTCCCACGAAAAGTGAGTGTCCAGATGAATACGTGCGGGTGGAAGAACACGGGAAGTTCGAAGATGTCCGTCATCGAGAAGTGTGGAGGGAAGTGTCTGAATGTAAAAACAACGAAGTGCCAAAGCGGGCGTGGGGAGCGACTTCTTGTGCGTGGAGAGAGTAAATCGCGATGGGTGTATTTGCGAGTTGAAGAAACAGATGAGAGCGATATAGGAAATGTGATGGTCCAAATTTCTCGAATTGGTGGGAATTTGTTGATGAGAAGAAAATTTGTGAGAAGGCCATTTTGGCTGAACAGAATTTTGAGAATGAGAGGAAGACGGTGGAGAGGAAATCGAAGATTTCAATATGGAAGAAATGGGAGATATAGAAGATTTAGAAAATATCAAGTGATTGGTAAAAAAATTCAACAAAACACATCAAAACAAGACCAAAATAAAAAGAGGCAAATGGAAAAGAAAATGGAAGAGAAAAATAGAAGAGAACGACTTGTCACAAATTTTGAAAAGTCGTTGAGGAACAAAGATAATACTATTCAAAATTATAATAATAAACTAAACACACAAAATCAAGTAAAACAGGAACAAGAAGTCAACAAGAACACTTTTGAAAGAAACCAAAAGAAAGAAGTCAAACCAGTATTTCTTGATCAGAAAGTCAGTGATGTGAAAATAGTGTCACTCGAAAGAAACAACAGCTCAACAATAGTGAAAGTGCTTTTGGGGGTCGTTGGAGTTTCTTTTCTCGGAGTGAGTGGTTTTATTGCTTACAAAGTGTTTTTAAAGAAGAAAACAGACAATAACTACATCCCTCTTTAAATTCGTTTTTATTTGAGTTTTGTATATAGTTTTTACTCATTAGTAGCATAATTTAATATTACTATTATATTTTAATTATTAATAGTATATATTAATACTATTGTTTGCTCTATTATTTTAATAATTGATTGAACTTTAAAAATATCTTATTTTTTTCAAGTTTCATTGAATACTTCATTTTGCCATTTTTAGAATTCATGTATTTTAGAATCAAAATACATAAGTAATTATTTTAATTATTTTATAATTCAAATAAATCTATTGACAATTAATAATCTGATAAACTAATAAAAATTTGAAAAAAAAATAAACATAAAAACCCTTAAATTTAAAATTTTTATTTTGATTATCAAGAAAATGTCGATATATTAAAATAGTTTTAAAACAACTATAAGTTATAAGATATATTAACTATATTTAATAGTTAAAAGATAACAATATAAAATTATTTATTTTTGTATTTTAATCATGTTAAAAAAAAGCGAAAACGATAACAAACATGAAATTTATTAGAAAAAATCTGATCATTTAACCACTGACTGTATAAGTGATTGAAGTAAAAATATAACCCTAAAATATTGTTTATAAACCTCCTTTCCCTTTAAATTTCAGTTTCTCTGTAACGAAACCGGGGCAGAGGAAAGACAGGGTGGGTGGGAAGGAACGAGTAGTTTGTGTTTGACATTAATTCGGATAATGGTAGGGAAAACTGAAAGGTATTGTGTTTGTTTTGTGGGAGTGTGTGTTGCAACTTTTTCGATAACAAACTCGGTTTTGTTATATATAACATAAATTTAAATTTCATTGTTTTGTAATTTTTTTTATTATTTAGAAACTAAAAAAAATCATAAAAAAACACAAATATTATTTTTTATACCGGTAAATATTGTTTTTCAATAGATAAAAATCTATAAATTTAATAAATTTATGAATTATTTAGTAATTATAATAAAAATAAAATTATATCGACATTTTACCAATCAAAGATTTTGGTAATGAAAAATAAAAACGACAACAATTTGATTATTAAAATAAAAATTGCCTATCTTCTTTGTATTTTTTTATTCCGTTAAAACCTTCAATTTTTTTGTAAAAATAACGAATTTTAATTATATCGGTGTAACTATACTTAATAATTACAAGTTTCTAAACCCTGAACTAAGAATCCCATAGTAAAAAGAAGATGGTAATACCTCTCTTGTTACTCATCTCATTATCTCACGCATTGACTTATCCATCGACATGTCAACACGACTTAGTTAGTTCTTTTAAATATGTTTGCACGGATGGGGGGCTTTATCTGTATAGTTACATTGATTTAGAATGCACAGCAGGTGAACAATTGGTCATTCAAGACCCAAGTTTTTGTACACAACACAACAGTACAATTTACTTAGAACACCCCAAAGAAAATCGACACGACGATAAAACGTATTGTGAGTCAAAGAGAAGAAAACATATAGTGTATGGTCTTGCTATTGGATACCCCTTTTCCGTGTTGGCCCTCACTGCTATAGTACTTGGGATGGGGAGAAGGATCCCCGTGATTAACATCTTTCTTTCTCCATTTGTCTTCTCAGCACTTGTTTGTATGATCGACCGTTTAATATGCAAACAGAACGACTTTGAAGTGATAGTTGCGAGTGGTGTATTTGTGTCGACGATATTGATCGAGTTGATTGTCATCTTCATCGCACGTATCTTTTATAGAGACACCGACACATATCACAGAATCTTCGCAGCACACTCAATTTTAATGGAACTCTGGAACGGAAGTTTCGACCACGACTTAAACGCAATTTTAACAAAGTATTTGGCCCAAAAACCGGACGGACATGTTGTTGGGGAGGCTTACCATTACATCACTAAGATATTAAAACACAAGGAAAGTGAATACCAACAAATCGATGACGAAGAGGACGAACATTTTGTTTTACTCACAAAAACAACGTTCAAAACGACGCAACGCATTTCATATAAAAGTTGGGAAAAGGAAACACAAAAAATCGGGAAAATACCAAAGAACGCCATGTTAAGAGTGACGATCGAAGAAAACATCAGACTCACTCCAGAAATGGTCAAAAATCAAAACGAAGTCTTTGATAAAATTCGAGAGATTTGTAAGACAAAAGATACACACTACAGTCTATCTACTCACTGGGGAACACCATATATATATAAATCCCTCTGCGTCATTCAAAGTCCATTCTTGGACTTTTTACTCTCGTGGAAACTGTTTGGGATGCTGTACGTCGTATCAATGATGGTCGGTCTCAATTTGTTCGTCGACGTCATTTGGAGGTTCCTCGAGACGCCATTTAAGTTCAGAATTGAAAAGACTGTGTCCATTGAGAATAATCTGCCATACAAATGGTAAACAAGTTATAAATTGTTTCTTTCGGGTTGATTGAATAGTATTAATTCTAGTATATTATTATAAATGTATTATAAAATTATTATAATATTACTAATATTAATACTAGTATATTACTATATTTGTATTGTTAATACAATTACTATATAATAATAGTATTAATACTATCAGATTATGTTCTATAAAGATATTAGTATTACTAGTAATAATATTATTATAATTCTTGAAAATGAATAAAACTAATATAATAAGGAGACAATCAAGTCATAAATCAGAAGAAGAAGCAATCGATACGCTCGAAAAGGCCGACTCGGAATACAATGAGAAAGAAGTTGATAACGACGAGAATGAGTCTTCAACCGCTTTGCAGAGATGATGGAAACCTAAGTTATGGTTCTTCACATCTTGAATGAGCTGGATAACAGTCATTGCTACCATCGCTAATGTCGAAAGGACTATTAAAGCACCTAAGAAAAATCCGATGACACTCTGTCTATTCATCTTCTGAACAATCTTTGAAAAGCCAAATTGTCCAAAAGCAGCCCCGATAAACCCAATACCAAAGTACCATAACCCACAATACAAGTCGAGTTTCCCATCTATAATATATTGAAGTGATGAGGATGACGCAGTGAACATAATCATAAATGCACTCGTCGCTGTAGCCACTTGAGGAAGTACACCAATTTCTATGTGTTATTTATTTATAGTATTACAAATATTATATTATAGTATAATATATAGTATTATAGTATACTATATCATACTATATATCATACTATATCTATTCCACCACAAACCTAACAATATGGGCCCAATCACCATTCCACCACCTATTCCCAAAAACGCTGCAGATACACCAGCAAACAACGCCCCAACAGGTATTATTATACAATTCTTCACACTCCATTGTACTTCACCTTCGATATGCTCTCCACGATGTTTGTACCACAACACCCCACCAACTATTAAAGTGACAGTTAACATCAAAGGCGCGCCGACTCCAGTCAATATCCAATACCATGGTGTTCCACATTGTACACCAACGACGGAATCCATCTTTCCCCCGCCACGTAAAATGACAATACAAAACATCACTGCCCAGACTGCTATTAATATGATGATGGAGAGAATCGACTTTAAGACTTCGCGTTTGAAGAGAATTTTCTCTTCTTTCTTTTTTGTATCTTCGACTGTTTCATTCTCGTCTTGTGGGAGTAACTGTGGGCCAGTGCCTTGTTCGTTTTTGTCGTCCTGAGGTGTCGACTCGTTTAAGTCGATTTTATCGGAGACGATGACACCACTTTGCACTTTGTCGTCACTTTCTGCTCCCGTTTTGAGACTCTCCGTCGTCATGTCATCGTTTGCAGTGTCTTGATCCGGTTGCTTCTCTTCTTTCATTTCTATCGCGATTTTTGCTTGTTTCATTTTCTCGTTCTCTGCTTTGTACTGTTTCCACGCCTTTGTGAAAGTCTTGTAGGACGTGTACCCAAGTAACAACACTAAAACTACTATAATCAACCAACTTGGAGATGTGATGTTTAAAATAACCCCAAGCATTGTCCCATATATCGTTAAGGGCTCCACCATCAACGCCGTTGCATACGAAATGAGTGGCTTGTACTTGATTGTCGGGTGCATCTTCATCCAGAGAACTAAGTAGCCCCCACATGCTACACCAAAAGTCGTGATTTTACTCAATGGAACAGCTTCGTGTGCGTCCATTTGAAGAATCAGAACAAAAATAACAAGGTAAAAGCACCCACCACCTATACCTGAGCCGGCACAAAGTACCGCAAAGAAGAGGGAACCAATCGACCCAACTGCAAGTTTCCAGTCGAATGTCAATTCCATTGGTTTGACTGTTTTAAAGTTCGTTTCATTTACACAGGAAGTCAAAATTTCTGTATAACAATAATAGAAATGGGTAAGTAAAACACGGTCGAGAGAATAAATAATTTCAACTAAATAAGACTACTTTATCGGGGTGTTTAGATCTTCAAATCTTTGCTAATTTGGATTTTTCATTCTTTCAAAGAAATGTCTCTCGAATTTTAAATATCGAATTCGGTCTTTTTAATATGAAAAACACGAAATTCATTAGTTATTTCAAACCCTTTTTTGCCTCTTTCGAATAAGAATTTTTTACTGTTAAATACTCAAAACAAAATACTCATAATATTATTATTTAAATTATTATTTAAAAAATTAGAATTATTATAATTTCTCTTTGTCTTGTATTTTTTCTATAACAAGAATAGTAATAATATTTACTATTCTATGTATTAATAACAATTACTATCTTTTACTAGTATAAAAATAAAAATTAAAACTAAATTATTACAATTGTACAAAAAAATTGAGTTTCTCTGTTTTTTAAATAAATTATATTATGATAAATAATATTAAAAAAAACTAAATTAAAAAATATGATTAGAATGAATTAAATAACAAAATTCAAAAGCGACTTCTTTATTAATCAAAAAGCTCGACAAAGAAGTTAAAGATTTCATACGCTATGACTATCACTTTTTCCCAAAAGGTAAGTGGCTCAGGGACATAGTCGACTTCATCACATGCGTATTCTTGGATTATTTTGATGACTGAATCTGACTTCAAGATGCCGACATGAGACGCTCCATAAATGGTGAGTCCTACAAAATTTTCCATTCCAAGTTGGTCGCAATAAGAAAGACTCTGTGACTCAACGGTACCATCTCCTTCATTCTCATACACCTTCTCCAGTAGTCCGTTGACCATTTGATACCCAACAAAAGTGTTCACGTTATGTCCATGCATACACGTCAATGGGTATTTGACACCTCTTTTTTTATAATTTCTCTTACTAAGCTTCAGAGCGTTGTTGACAAAGTCACCTTTCTCATCCACCTCGTCTTTAAATGAATCCAACAGCTTCACAAGTTCCTTTGCAGAGAGGAGTCCATTTTCAGTCTTATAATAAAGTTCATTTGGCGCCATCGCATACACCGATTCAAATGTTCTGGACGCGTTAAGGAACAGATCAAGTGGTATAACTTCTTTTGGCAAGTCGGCATTGTCGCCCTCCAAAAGTGCTTTAATAGTTTTGACTGCGCCGAGCCATGGCGTTGATATTGAAACGACTCGTTGAATGTATTTGTCGACCCACTTCTGTCCCATGTCCTCTAAAAAGTCCGAAATAGTTAATCCCCCCATCGAGTGTCCAACTAAAATGACCTTTTTGTTTGCAATGTTAAATGCAGTTTCAATGTTCTTCTTAATGTTTTGTGTCCACACGGTACTCTGTTTCATGACCCTCCAATCGGTAGCAGCGACTTGTAAGTCGTACATGTCTTCATACCCAATTGCCTGTAAATTGTCGACAATATCAGCGTAAAGTCTTAAAAGGTTTTTAGTGATTGGATCCGGCGAAATGGTCGAAACACCATTAACAGAGTTGGCGTTGGGGTAATACAATTCGACGTTCTCGGCATTCCTCATTTGATGCGTATCAACGTCGTAATGCATTTGTAAGTACTGCGGAATGCATTTGCGAGTCGATGGGTTCAGTAAATCGTAAGAGGCCCAGACACGTTGATTAGTCGCTTGGTGTTCCCAACAGGCTGAATCAACTTCATTTGAGCCATAGTTGCTTATGTTCGCGCTAAGAGAACTTCCCAAAATCCCATTGAACAGAAAGACAGGACGACGACTGGTGCAAACGTTCACAGTTTTCTGTGAATTCACTGATAATAAGAAGAGAAGAAATAACATGACTTTTGTCACAATTACTTTTTCTAGTTGATTTACTTATTAATTGTAATGAAAAATTCATTCTTTATTTTACTTTGTTGTATTTGGGTTACTCTTGTTTTGATTATTATATCGGGTTTCCTTACTCGTTCAGTTATTAGTTATAATAGTTTTATTATTATATTTATTAAAAATTGTTTTTTGTGTTTAAACCCAAAATAGTAATGACGTTTCCATTTTTTTTTGTTGCAAAAATAAAAACAAAAATGTTTTGAAAAACTAGTTGTTGATGGTTTTATAGTTATATTTTATTTAAATTTTTTTATAATTATTTTTATAGTTTTTATATTATTAATTACAAACAAATCATTATTAGTTTTAAAATAATTATTGTTATTTAATAATAATAGGAAAAATAATGATTTTTTTATTATTAAAATATAATATAAAGTTAGAAAATCAATGATTTTAATAAATAAATTAATCATCAAAACCTTTAAATAACAAATTTTACACAAATTTTTGGGAAATTTTTACTTCTTGAAAAATAATTATGTATTCTATTAAATATATTATTAGAATAATATAACTATTAATTACATCTAATAATAAAATTTGAGTGTATTTTAAACACAGTATTTATTTAACATTTTTTGAGTAAAAATTATCATATTAACTATTCTACTAATTATTAATAATAATTATAATTAAATAATACCATAAATTAAAACTTTAAAAAAAATTCTAAAAATTAATTAATTCAAAGTTTCCATTTTTTATTTATAAAACTACCAAAAATAGTTTTTTCATTTCGATAATTTTGATAATTTGAACTGTTTATTTTCACACTATTTTTTACACACAATTACAATTTCAGAGTTAAACCATAGACGTGGTGATATAACACACGAAAAACCAATAGAAGAACTCAATAGAGCAAAAAAGTTTTAATTGATTCCAATAATTTTATAATAGAAATTGGTATAAATATCCCGAGTCATCAATTTAATAGTCGACTCACCAAAAAAATTTTGATGATATTTTAGAAACACGGCTTTCTCCAAACAATAAAGAAATTATACAATAACCATTTGTAGAGTTAGATTCTCCCTTTTAAAATACATCAAAATTCATTTTGTTCTAAATCGAGAGAACCACTTCATCCCAAAAGTAGTAGTTATAGTCTTCTGTCATATATCCGAATGCACTTTTAAACACTTCAAAGCAAGTAATGAATAACAAAAAAGTATCATTTTAAATCAAACTTGAAATTAAAAAAGATGAGCCGAGTGTCGGACTCACGCGTCGTCTCTATTTTGTGCAACAAAAAGATCAAAGACATGCGAGTTGAGCTTATACCCGATCCCACTTTTCCTATTTTATACATCAACAAAAAGACCATTCAAGTTATTCGCGCCTTCATCACACTCTCCGTCAACAAAACTCTCTTCCCAAAAGATTACAAGCCTTCCGAAGCAGATCCCGAACAAGCAAATATGTTTGAGATCATATACGACCACGAATACATTTTCATATGTAAAACCCACGCTGAGATGAAGTATTGGGTCGCACAGCTCTCGCCTTATATGAAGGCGTTTGGTGTTTTCCAATACCCCATCGAAGTCGCGATAAAGAAGTCGCGCTGGCGTGTCCCCAATGTAGTCTATCGGTGTATTGAATTTATGCAGAAGAAGAACGCAGACCAATTGGAGGGCATCTTTCGCATCAACGCAAACAGTCGCAAAATTCGTGAGCTCCGCGAACTCGTCGAGAACGACGCGGACTTGAAATTCGACGAGAAGGATGAGATTAGCACTGCGTCGTCGTTTCTTAAACAGTACCTCCACGTCTTAGTTGTTCCTTTAATCCCTCCGGAGTGGTTCCACGACTATATTAATATGCCAAGTGGTCTTCCAAACCCACGCGAGTTTGTTAATAGTCTTCCGAAACACAATCAAAACACTTTGTGGTACTTCTGTGAGTTTTTGCACCAAATCATATTGAAAAAGGACATCAACAAAATGGACGAAACAAATTTGGCGAAGTGCGTTGGACTTGTTGTCTGCGAAAATCCACAAAACGGGAAAATGAACGAACTCGTCTACACAAAAACGGCAATCTCCACCTTCGAATATTTGTTGAGAAACCACGAGACAGCATTCTGCGACGTCAAAAAGAGAAATGAGGAACTCGGGGTCCAACCCCCAAGCTACCCCGCCTTTCAACCACTGAACCACCCACAATATGATTTATTGACTGAACAAATTAAGATGGAACTTGGCGACTGTAAAAAGCAATGGAGACTTTCTGCGTCGTTTTTGGGAAGTTCTGGAGGAAAGAAAGTCAGTCGGGCGTCGTTCAGTTCAATCTCTCTCGATTTCTCAAAACAGAAAAACGACTTGTTCTCAACGTCAATGAAGGATTTGTCAAACTCACCAAAAAGTAAAGTCTCAAGAAAAGAAAGAGCAAAAACAATGTTGGCAAAAAAGGATGGAGGGAGACTGAAAATTAATAGTCTGACCGCGGGGGAAGGGGTACGAGTGCTCACCTCGAGTTCAGAAATTAAAGACGATAGCAGTCGGGGAATAGTGGTGTCGGAGTTGACTCAATAGGGACGATTTTTTTGTTATTCATATTTTTGTTATTCATTTTTGTGTTATTTTTTTGAGTTGTATGTTGAAAAGAATATTATTATTTATTATTTCATTAATACATTCTAATTCATTAAAAAAAGTTAGATAATTATAATTAATTAGTAATAGTATTAATATTTATATAATACGTTTTAGTGTTGTTTTTCAGAACAACATTTGAATCAAATGTCAAGTCTGTCCATAAACCTTATTTATTTTTTTGGGTCAATTATTAATGAAAATGTTTTCAACTTACAGGAAAAGATAAGCTTAAAAAAGGATATTAAAATTATAAGTATTCAGAAACTAAATAACCAATAACACAATCAATAACATAAATAAAGTTAAGACCTTTTCACCTATCATTTTCAAACATCTCAAAGTGAATAAATACAGTTGATTTGGTAATATTTTTGAACAAAATATTGGGAAAATATTACTAACAAACCAATTATATTGGCACCGTTTACTCGAAAAATTTTGGTTCTAAGCAATAGTACTTTGAGACATTTTTAATAAACTCTTTGTATTAAAAGAAAAAACTGACATCCACTTTACCAGAACCATTTTACAAGCGCAACTTTTACTCAACGACGGAATTTCATTTCGATGTTTGAGTCTGTCAATCATGTTGATTTTATTGTTTATGATTTGCCTCGTTGTTATCAATTTCTTTGGTAAAAATTCAGGTTGTTTGTTATCAAATATTCGCTTGTTGTTAATATAACTTTAAACAATAAAAAAAGGTTCACCCAACCGTTGTTTGTAACAACTTTGTTTTCACTGTTATTACATGCTTTGTCCGCAAAAAAATAAATTGATCAAACTGTCCAAGTTCGTTTTGATTGAAAAAACCAAGATTTATAATAAACAAAACAAATCAAAAAACAAAACTGAATAACAAAAATTA